CAGTCACATCATACAGCAACATCCCCTTTCACCATTCCTCACCTTCATCCTCATTCTTCAGGCCTCAATCAACCGAAAAAAAGCAGTTCAGCCGGAACATCAAGAGTGGTGAGATATGTAGTCCAACGGTTGGAATCACAGGTTTTGCAAGTGCCCTGTATGTTAGGGTACTCGAGGGAAATCGGCAAACATAATGCAAACGAGTTGTGAACGAGATTCACAATTCGAGGAAATTTCAAACCCGGACACCGAAATTCCTCTCAATCGGGTTTCAAACAAGTTGATTCCCGCAGTGTTACCCGTCTCTCACTTCCTGATTCCATTACCTGAGACAATCCTTGGGCCATACAGGGATACAGTCAAACCCCTCTAAAGCCGTACACCGATAAAGCCTCAACTCGCCTGTAGCCATGTTTTTTGGTTCTGCCCAATTGGGCAGAGCCAAAATTTGTCAGAATCCCATAGTTATGCCTATTGCAGTAACCCATACCCAACATATGAAAAAAAAAACAATATTTTTAATGTAAATCTATAGAAAATGGTCGAATATAAATAACATGTGGTGTGACAGTGTGTCACTGCAAAAAATAGATGAGTATTATGTGGATGAGTTGATTTTGTGAGCAAATTCCAAACACTGAGCCTAAATTGAATTGGCTTGCTGCGGGTGTGCAACATACATCAGGGTGAGCCAAAATTCATCCATTGCTCACCCTTTCATTGAGTGACTTTCACTTGATAAGTGGGTCAGTCCCCTCACTCAAAAAACCACCAAACAGGTGATCCAGCTCACTCCATCATAAGGTAATCCACCGCCTTTCAGATACGTGATCATATTGAGTGAAGCTCACGCTGACTGGCACATGTAGCCCACATCGGGTATCACGCTGTAGACAGTGCGGGGTTTATTGAAAGAGTCAAAAGTCACGTGAGCTTCACGTGCCAGCTGGCCCGCGATGTATGTATTTGTGTATACTCTGTTCTCTGTGTTGTCGGATGATAATATTTTTTTATCAATGGTACAATGATAAAGGGCATGGTATCAACCGACTTGAGAAATTACATCATTGCTGTCACAGCTGATTTGAGAACGAATTATTTATTTTGAAAAGTGCATCATGGTGCAAAATCTGAATTTGTTTTTGATTGAATTTTGTTTCTCTGCTGAATTTGAAAGAGGTCAATCATTCTCAAATTGACTGTACAAGGAATGTTGAATGATGTGGTCTCTGGCTGCAGTAGTTAGATGTTTTCTTTTTGTTAACTGATGTATCAATAAAAAGTCATCTATCACAAACTTTTTAGATGAGATTAGAGTGTCTCGAAGAGATTCAAATGCAGCAAACATTTCAAACTCTACAAAATCCCTCGCACTCTCTATAATTTTTCATTTCATCTTCGTTGTTGTAGTACCACTCATCACTTCATTCACTTCATTCATACCTTTTGGGACTATCTCAAAAGCTCTCAAAGGGGTACCTCCCATGAGGCCTGTGTCATGAATAGAGTGAGATTATTCTCTGCACCTGGTAATCCTTTGCGTCTGTGAAGTTGAAGCGTACTTCTGGTACCACAACGCACTGGACCACATAGCTGCTTACTTCTACATACGAGAAATCTTGTAATTACCCCTCAATATTTTACTAGCAAGTCCATATCAATCCTTTTGAAATATCACAGTCCTCCATTATCCCAATAAACACTTTCAAAATCTTCCAATAACCCACCCCATGCATCCTTCCAAGATTCTTCCAAGATCCAGACCTTTGAATCATCTTCATTTGGCTTAACTGAAATAACGCTTTGGCTAGGGGATTGATTTAAGATAGTATAATAAACGCACATTCCTTTCTCAAACTTTACCTTTGCTCTTACCACATCACTGACATTTAGATTTTGTCGCGTCACTAGATCACTTGGACCTAAGCTGTGTAAGACTTTGAATGTTTCACCTCTATTAAAACCTCCAGTGTGCTTCAAAAGGTTGATGTGAGCAAAGAGTGGTGGAGCATGCTCTCGTTGAGTTTCTGAGAGCGTGGTTTTTAAGAAGGATGGATAATGGCTCCAATCTTCCGATGATAGCGAATACTGAAACATGGTATGTCCACAATATTCGTTACCTGATCTGAAGCCTCCACCACTCGATAGCCAATGAGGAGCACGATTCCAAGGCAGTTGAAGGGAATATAGAGCATACCGCTTAGATTACAAATCGCAAGTCAGTTTAACGCAAGGAGATTTGAAACATGATGTAAGATTGGCTTACAAAAGTCTGCTCAGCCGGTCCAGAGCGATTGGGACGAGATCGGAAGATATATCGCATATTAGCGCAAGCTTTTGCTTCAAGATTACGCAGGAGACAAGATCTTGAGTTCAACGCACATCTTTATCTCCTTCACTGATGCGGAACCAAAATTGATGATGAAGTTGCATTTGAGCAGCCACAAGTAAAGCGCCAAAGACTAAACCTCTTTGAGCTGATTTGTCGACTAGAATTTGACCTGAATCGACCTGCCAATCTTGAGGTATGCAGGTCTGGCTTGCTAGGCGCCATATAGGATTTCGAGCTGAGCGTATTGGATAACAGATCAACACCTTTATCATCCCATAGACGATTCATACAAATTGAGTGGAATGGGGATCAGGACACACCTCCGTCTTTTGTGATGTCAGGCCATAGAACAATTCCCCATTGCTTGAAAACCGGAGATTCGAAAAGGAACGTAGGATCCACCAAAGGAATGTTGTCCTGAAATTCATTAACGGGTTAACCTTTGTTCAATAAGAGGAGACCATGCCGTCGAGTCTTACTGAGGCTTACGGAATCGAGATACAATACTCTTGTGAAGCTGGAATGAATGATTGAAGCTCCTTTCTAGGTCGTCGTTTTAGTTAGGTCAGATTCGCCCAAAAAAATCTCAGTCTGATCATGAGTTGTAGCCCTAGATTGGTAGCGTATCGAGCTCACAATTTGGAAGCTTGGAAGAATGGGTTTTGGGTTTGTAAGTTGAAATTAGCTAAGGACTTTCATCGAACAAAAAAATTGCTTACTTCTTCCAAGCTTTTTGATCTTTTGGGTAAGGAAGCTGATCAAACATCAAACGATGCAGGATCAGAAAATCGTGGTCGGTTTGGGAGGAGTTGAGTAAGCAAATGAGTAGAAAGAAATAAGACTTTACGGGTTTGATTTCGATACCACCTAACGCTAGGATTTCAGTCCGAAAATCCGTAACTTGCTCAAGTTCTTCTGGAAACATAAAGATTTCTATCGGTAAACGACACTCGTGTTTTTTTCTTAAAATTCGTATTGTGACCATCAATCGACGCATCGTATCACCATTTCCACCAGTAATGACGATTCCTTGAGTACCTTCACCAATCAAAGGTCTGCCAAGGACGCCTTCGAGAGTAAGGTGTGAGGCTTGAGTACCATTGACGACTTGAGAAAGGGATTCTTGAAAAAATTGATGGATCCCAGAGATCACTTCGGCTCGAATTCTGAGAACGGCTTGAGAAGTGATAGCACCCCACAGTTTAGCAGCATTATTAAGTTGATCTGGATTTGATTGCTCTTCTCGATCTTTTCCACATGCTTTCTCGTTTGAAATGAGAGCTTCTTCGTATGATCTAACCGGTCGATCCATCCAAGCCACGAGGTACGGCTCTATTCGATTCGCGAGGGCCTGGATAGACTTGACAGTAGCATTTACGTCTTGCTTGGGTTTACGGACAAGATAAGGTTTGATAGGTCCCAGTGGAATTGAAGACTTCAATATCGCATCAGTAAAAGAAATAGAGTGAGGCCATTTCGTATGAAGTGGAGCAAACAAATCAGGATAACTGGTTTTGATTAAGATGAAGATAAGAGCTGAAGAAGCCAAAGTATATAAAATGAAGATCCTTGAACGACGAAGAGAAGGTAAAGAGAAGCTTGACATTTTGCTCATGGTTGATATCTAAAACTTGGTCAATCAGTCTTCATCAGAAAGTCGGACTCAAACTTTCAAATCAGGGCGAGATGTCTCAGAGTGCCGATCCCAATTCCAATCGATGAGGTCATGAGGCATCGGGTCAATCCATCAAACCAGATCAAACCTTCATGAAGCGAGTAATGACCGCGGGATATTACAATGTATGTACAACAATGCTCTTCACACTCGTGAGTGTTTTCTTTATGGCATGCCATTTTCCTCTTGAACCCTTTGCTACTCAAGGATCACTCGAAATATTCCTCACGCTTACCCAAATCGTTGCTTCGATATTCTGTAGCTGTGCCACTGGCAGGATAGTCAGGCATAGTCATCTTGGATGCTGTTCACCGAGCCAATCATTCTTGTAGTGTGTGTGATAAACTTCCCTGTAAGTGGATCAGGTTCCCTTCAGATTGCAGAGTATCGAGAACTCCTACGGTGCCGCAGGCTGGGGCTCAAAATTGGAACCTTCGATCAAAGTTAACAAAGTCTGGAATGTTTGACCGTCGCGGGAATGATCCTCTTGGGACGAAGGGCCATTTTGAATGTGCGCTATATATTTCTTGCATCATGGGCAATACTGTGATACAGGTACCCAAAGGCACGACGGTACCTGTAAGTTCCATGTAGCCCAAAGAGGAACATGCCCTCGAGATGAATCTCTCGGTACCGGGAACTGAACAGTACCGAGATAGTAGATGATAGAGTCCACGTTCACCGAGGGAAGGTGAAGGAAGTAAACTCCTCACCTTCACTCACTGAACCAATCAACAGCTCAAGAAGTCCTCTTCAAGCACCATTTCTCTCACATTTTCAGATATCAAATTTTTCTTATCCTCCCACCCACCCCTACACCCTACCACGCAGAGAGCCTACCTCGGCCTGACAGATCAGCGGCCTCCGGCCCCCCCCAAACACCCGTCATGGAAATTAACTCACCCAGTTAATTTACATGACTACTGGTCTTAAATCTGAGGTAGTGATAGTAGTAAACATATGTAAGATTAACGTAGTTACGAATTGTAATAAAAGAAACTTTGATAAATGAGAAATGTGACTATGAGAGAAATGGAATAGCTGTGTTGTTCGTTTTAGCACCTTTTGTCCAACGCACTGCGACGTAATGTGAATGCCAGGAGGGGGTAGAAACAGTAGACCACTTCCTCTTCATATGCCAGACACATGAACGACACCGCAACACGCTAGAACGCGAACTCCAAGAATTCACGACCAAGATGGATAAGAGGATCCTCTCAAATCCCGACACTTTCAAACTAATCGCCAACTACTGCAACTCCACTTGGAGGTTTGCAAACCAATGGATCTGGGCGAAAGCCACAGACAAAGCCCTTCCAACTGACAGACGTCAACCCCAAGATTTACCCTAGTTTTCTCTACTTATCTCCCTACTTCACCGCCCTACTCCAAAAAACCTATTATAATTGTGTAACCTAGATGAAACAGCCAACAGCAACCCTTTCCCCTGACACAGCCAGAGGGATTTTACCGGTGCTGGACATATTATAGAGTGTTTGATGGCCTAGTGGCTACAAAAATACTTAAAACAATGAAATAAAAAAAAATCACAAGCCGGCCATGAGCATATGCAAGGAGGCAGGAGATGTGAAGTCAAAAGTTTAACAACGAAGATATTCGATCAGCAGGTTTCCGTCGCATATTTGCGCTTGAAATGGTCCACTCACTTTGACCACCCTCCGGAATATTTGGATTATGTGTGGTTTGACCGCTGTTACATCATCAATACCTCTTTACTACAAGTGTGAGCCACATAAATCCTTTCCCTCAAATTATAAACACATGATTCTTGTAGTGTCACAACTACATCTTTGGTCCTTCAAGTTTCAGCATTATGATACCGAATGGCCAAGACATGTAATTGTAACATTCAGAGCATCACCCGTTGCTTTCCGTTTGGTACGTTCCATCATTTCACATCTTGGTCTTCAAGCTTCCATAACACTTCAATTTAAAAATTCCTTTTTTTCAAGCCACCAGATCTGAGTGATCAGAAACTGAATTATTTCTTCACCTGTGTCTGTCACAGTAGTCTTGGATATAAAATTCATATAATATTTATCTACATCTGATATTTCATATTTCAATTTCCGTCACTCATTGCATTATCACCCACATCATGGCCTTGGAGAAACTCGCTTCATTTATGATCACTTCCTTCCTTATTTTAACATTCTTGTACAATGTATTGACTATCCCTTCCGCAGATCAGTTTCAACTTGGTACAAACACCAAAATCTCCGGATCATCAACGCAATTCCAAAAACTTAGCTTTGTTGCACCCGCCACAATGACTCCCTATCGTGTAAATGATTACGTTGTAAGGCGGGAGGCAATTGAGGAATCTCAAGAGATTGAAAATAAACACACAGATCCAAGATTACTAGAAGATACTATTCGAACAGAATGCTTGAACGGTATAGATGTTACAACAGGAACATGCATATAAAATCCGGGAATGCTTCAAGCTCTGATACAACCTGATTTTGATTATTGCAAAAGCGAGTATCCCACCAGATCAACATAAAGATATCAAAAATCTTTGCCTATTCTCATTGTGAAGGAGGTACCTTGAATACGTACATCTTTGTTACTGGAATACACTTCAAATTTTGCAAAAATTTATTTTAGAGTAGCCTCGGCAACACAGTATGCATACCTTGTACGGCAATTTACTCTGATGTTATAACCATACTTTCTCTATGCAACTCTGGAGTATATGGGTGGTTTTGGTCATGTGATTTTTTATCAAGATTGTACCAAGGAACAGTCCAATTTGACATGTGTCTCAAAGTTTTTGCAGGCCAGGATATGGAACTACATACTGAATTTTTCCTTCAAATTTGTATGATGATTTTTGAGCCAACACAATCTGATCTTATGAAACACTTGAAAAAATGAACAAGAAGTTGCTATCTATGTACAGTTAGAAAGAAACACTGGACAAACCTGAAATGTTCAACATTATTCCAGGATGTGTATATGTCAAAATAGACAGCTCATGGTTTGACTGTTTGAAAGCTTTGAGTTCCTGATCATCTCCTTTTGTGAGTGTATGTGCTCAAGGGTGTTCAACAAAAGTAAGGCGGTGTTATGGACAAGACTTGTGATTGAAGCATGTTGTGAACCCAGTCACCACAAGTATCTTCAATCAATGATTCCCCCAGTGTGAGCTGCCATAAGGTTCACAAGTCTCACAATCTGCATAATGAATTTGATCAGATCTTGATTGTGTGGTCTACATAATCTCATTTCACACATTAATCAAGTGTTTTAGAGACCTGCATAGTGTCAGTCATCAGTTCAAGTTCTTTTGCATCTTGGTTGTATCTCATGGGTGGAATTCTGTGTATCTAGATTTAGAAAACAATCCATTAGTCAACATCCTTTTTTCTCATGCACATCACATGATAATAGAAGACTTGAGGTCGAGGCCTGAAAGGGGCCAATTTCCATAGAGATCAAGAATGGCGGAGTTGTCAGTCACAGCATATCATGGTTATCTGTATAGGGAGGGTTTATATGATGTGTATTCATCTCCTCTCCTTCCTTCTTTTCTCTTTGGGGTTTCTTCTACCTTTCTCTCTATTATAATATGGTTCTTCTCTGATCTCTCTTTGTGGTCTAGACCTCTATCCTACTGAGTCTAGGCGACAGCCTGCAAGTCACATCCCAGTGAAGGTCAAGTGATCCTTGAACTTATCTCAATAGATTCAGTGTCTGTGTGGTAGTTTCTTGTTTAATTGCGCACAAAACCCTTTGAGAGAACAAGGGGATGATTGTGCACTTGTTTGCAGGCAAACACTACACAGACACATTGATCTTGCTAAAGGAATTCCAACAAACCTATGGCAAAGCTGTGGCAAACAAGACCCACTATCGCAGAAAGGTCTGGACTGGTTCAATGAAACTTCCTCTTTTGGGGTTCACACCTAATAATTTCCTCAGTTTCAGTCTTTCTGTATGCAGGAACAAAAATGCTGATGTGTTTGTTGTTTTTGGGTGATGGTTGTTGTCAGCTGTGGGACATGCATGATGTGCAGCATTGATTTGTGTCCCTGACCACTGGTTTCTGCATATCCCAAATATTGCTTAATAAAGAATCACATGACAACACAATACACAGCTAGGGTTTCAATTTACTAAAACACTGCTTGTATGTATACTGTTTATTGCCTAGTCATTCTGTGCAACATCATCAACATACAGAATCTGTGGTTCCATCACCAATAAAATTTAGTAGGTCTTACAAGTGTTATTTTTAGGCCCTTGCTATCTGCAGCCCACACAAAACCCATGTAGGCGCTGCCAAAACAGCGCCTACATCAAGGTTAGGCACTCAAAAAAAGCGCCTACATTTTATTTTTAGAATGTAGGCGTACACAAATGACGCCTACATTGGTTTTTCAGCCTGTAGGCGTCATTTGAAAAAGGAAAAAGTGCCTACATCATAAATGTAGGCGCTTTTTCGTGGGAAACCTTCATGTAGGCGTAATTTGGACAGCACCTACATGGATTTCATGTGGGCTCCAAATAGCAACGGCCTATTTTTATTCTCCTCCTCCCTCCCTACATCAATTTTGTCATCCTTTTTAGATTTGGTATTCTAATGATATTGTTAGTCCTTGTTTAGGCCACAATATGTCAGGGTCTTAGTACTACCCTTGGATAACTTGGGCTCTTTTGATTGTGAGTTCATTTGCTCCAGTCTCATCCTTGGATTCCTTTTGGGCTGAAAGCCTAAGATAACTTGTTATGCTTTACACATTGAATTCCCATCCCAGTCTATATCCCATGGGATCAAACAAGCCCAGAAACAGACTTCATATTGGTCCAAAAAAACTGGAAAAATTGGCAAGTCAAATTGGACTGGTAATTTTTTGCATTGAGAGATTTTGGACAATGGAGAAAAATCCAAGCACTAAGTTTGGTGAGGTTAAAGGGTTTACTGACAATAAGAAAGCCTATTGAACAAGGTATCAAATTGAAACAAGGGTTAAATAACTTGTTACAAGCTGATTACATATAATCTACACATGTAGAACAGCGCTTGAGAATTATAATTAATCAAAGGGAGAAATAGCAATAAAGAACCAGAGCCGTGGATACTAACTGTAAAAGGAGTTGAAAAGTCCTTGTATGGGCTTTTGAAGGTTGATTGGTAAAGGTATGTGAACTGGATTTGTTATTGTAAAAGACAAGGAATAAAAGAAACAAGACAAAAGCAGATATACCCGTCAAAACAAGAATAAAGTGTGCAGCAACACAAGACAAATACAATAAGGAGGTTAGTGCGAGAAGCTCCTGTGAACAAACTCCTAGCGTTAAAGAAGTTCCCTGGCCTAGGCTGGGGATCTCATTGAGAGTAGAATGGGTCCTCAAATCATCTTGCACTGAACAACTAAGCCATAAAGCACATGCTACATATATGCAAACATCTGAGCAAATCCTTAGCTATGAGCTAAATATAGTTCTGCTCAGCTATCTACTCATCTGGATAAGGAAATCACATGTAATACATGATGTATTTTTGTTCAGATTGAGACAAGCATTTTGAAAAGTAGTCTACATACATCACAATGGTTACTTGGGAAATATTCATGGAGCTGTGAAACAGGAACAGAAGGGGAAGCTGGTCTCTAGGACCCATATTGCCCGCCGGGAACCTCTTAAATGCTGGCAGTGATAACTGATTACTGAGCTGTAGATATTCACATGTGATCAATACAATAAGATCTGTGTGTGTAATAATCTACTTTTTATCATGTGTGATCTTTTGATCCCCATAGAACCCTGATTCACCCTTGAGGTTGTAATTCATTCTAATATCTATCACAACCCTTCCTTTTAGCACAGGAACCCTAGACTTCCATTCTTGGCAGCCATCATGTTTCAAGAAGTTCAGTTTTAGATGAACAGCTACTTAGTTTGGTTCCCAATCCAACTTAGTTGCTTGGAAAAAAGGCTACACATGGTTGTATTAGAGCATCTCCTCTTGTCTCGGTAAATGGCTTTGGTACGGTAAATTTTACCGTACCAAGGGTCAAAATCCCCAATTGTGTCAAAAACACGCATTGGTACCTACAGAATCGTCAGAAATTCTGTAGAGGTCCAGTAAATGTACTGGACCTCTACCAATTCTGCAGAGGTCGGTATCTGCAGATCTGCTTGACTTCTACCGAGCAGATCATACAACTCATCCTCAACATCACAGTCCCAACTCCCACTTCCCACTACACCTGTATGTACATCACCATCAAACACCATTTTTGAGGTGTTGGTACCTCTTCCATCTTGTAAATTCTTCATTTTTTAGATCAAGCGTCTTCAAAGGGTCATTTTTCCATAAAAAAATTGTTTTCTTATTCAATTGTTTTCAAATTTATCATCTTCAAATTAATTATCATCTTCAAATCAATCGTTCTCAACTTATCATTTTCAAATCGATTGTTTTCACATTGATTGTTTTGGAACCAATTGTTTTCAAATCAATTGTTCTCAAATCAATCATCCTCAATGTTTCGAAAGTGATTATTTTGAACTTAGTTGTTATCAGATCAGTTGTGTTCTTTGCAAACTGATTCCTCTCGAGTGGATGTTTGTCTGATAAAAGAACAATTTTCAACCATAAGTCTTTGAAATCAAGTGTGAGATTTACAGGTTTTTTACCAAATGCACGATAGTGGGAATGAGGTGTTTCTGTACTGTACATACTGTAATTTGTTTGAGATAAAGCAACGATAGTGGAAATCCACTGTTCTGTATCTAAAGATACTGTACCGAGTGAGTATGTACAGAAAATTTACAGAAGATTTACTCAAACGATAGGAGATGCTATTAGAAAGATTGTCATAAACAAAATACACAGTATCATCTTCCAACTTGATCTGTGTGCAATTCATTTGTTTGAAAGATGTATATCTTTTCAAATATCAAGCAAGTTTGCGCCTCATACATGTAATTGATGATTACATGTGTTTATTTGTATGTAATTGAGTATTACATGTTTCTTTTTATTATTACTACATGTAATTGGTTAATTACATGTAGGTTAATGATATGTAATGGGCCCATTGTAAGAAAGGTGATATGTGGTGGCTTATGCCCTTTCTGAAATTTCCTGACAAGAATGCTGATATTGCTGCGATAGGAAAATTTGTATTGTAGGTGTATCGTAGCGGAGTTGCTATATCACTATAGACATATGCTTATATTTGTATGAGCACTAAGCTATGAAAAGTTAAGCTTTTGCATATCAGCCAGGCAATACGATACAGCTGATATCTCCGTATGATATTGGACATATTGGCCATTGACTTTTCACATTTGAGTTGATTCCACCTTTAACACAATCACTCCTCAACTTGTCAAACCATTCATACATCAAGAAAACCACCACTTAAACTATTTCCTTGTCAACAAAACCACCAGTTAAACACCCAAAAATGA